CACAGAAAAACTAATTCAACTCATCAATCAATTCAGTAAAGTGGCAGGATACAAAATCAACACGCAAAAGTCAGTAGCCTTCCTATACACAAACAATAAATCTGAAGAAGAAGAAATCAAAAAAACCACCCCTTTTATTATCGAAACAAAAAAAATCAAATATTTGGGAATAAATCTAACAAAAGAGGTAAAGGACCTATACAAAGAAAACTATAAAACACTGTTAAAAGAAATAGAAGAAGACACAAAGAAATGGAAAGACATCCCCTGCTCATGGATTGGAAGAATAAACATTATTAAAATGGCCATCCTACCAGAGGACTTACTCTTAATTGGGAAAGTGGCAAGGTGGCTTTCTCTACAGTAACTCCCAAATGCCATTGTCTATAGGTACTTTCTTCTTGGGCCAGTTACTCTCAGTGCTCTTATTTGGGCACTAGAAGCCTGACTGCCAATAGTGTATAGATGGAAAAACTTCCAAAGCTTGGTCAGCAACCTGAGCACATAGCCTCAGTTCCTGCTAGAGACTGACACCCACTCCTGTCCACACCAGTGATAATTAACCTGCAGGACTTTTTCACCTGGCCTAGATGTCACTGCTGCCTATAATCTGAAGAATAACCTTGTTGATTGTTCTAAGATACCCACCTCCTCCAGCAGTTCCTGCCTTTGGGCGCTGGGCACTGCAACCTCTTAGAGTAATGCTTGACAAGTACTTTATACTCTGGTTTCCTCCTGTAAGTTTTCTGTCTTGCAGAGAAAGCCCAGCTTTGAGTAGTTCGTGAGGGTTTGCCTTCTCTTTTCAGTGTGGATGTTGATTTTTAGAAACATCTTTTCTGTCCTTTCCAGAGATCTGCTATTGGAGGGGACAGCTGGACCCTGACCTCTCCTGATTCTGTTCAGTTTGCATCTTTATTAGCAACCTGAAGCCAAACATGTTAACATTTTTAGAAATTGCAATTCCTTGTACCATAATTGTTTTTGTTATTTTCATGGAAACATGTTAATATATTTGGACTCTAATTTTATCATTAGAGTATAATTTTATGACAGTAAATCACTTTTTTTCATATTTACTAAAAATTTTTTCACTAAATCTCTATTTTAAACTGATTTTCATGGTAATGAAATCTCACATATTGAGATAATCAAATTTGTTAATAATTTCCTTTGCAGAAAGACATTTTGCAATTATCTGATAAGTTCCTTTAGTTTTTTGTTTCCTTTAGGGTTTTTTTTTTGATACAGACTTTAAATACTTATCTTACTTTTCTTGAAATGATTTTGTAAATTTCTTAGAAAGTATAGATATATTTTTTGTCAAATTTCCAAATTCTAAACTAGTAATTTTGATATCAGTATTTAACTCACTTTTAAATTTTTCATCAAATTTATTTCTGTGATCACATATTAAATTCATTTTTAAAAATTGCTATATTTTTATAATTTCCTCTGTTCTGTTGACAAATTTTTCTCGTTAATGCCCATACTCATTATTTATTAATCATTTATATTTTTAGTCGTTGACTAATCTGATTTTTTTCTTCTTTTTCAATTCTTATTAATCATTTTCCATTCACACAGTATACAATGATTCTGAGTTAGTTTGTAAAAATTAAAAGATGGATAAGACTTTCGTCATCAAGGTATTCAGTTGTGGAGGGTGTGATCAGTTCATATTAGACATTCAAAAAGGATGACTTGGAAAACCAAAGTTGGAAGGGAAGAATAAATTTGAAAAGGAAAAGATGGTTGAATCTTAAATGTAGGAGAACTTCTAAACAAAAAATCTATCAAGATGTGGACAGGTGCCCATCAGGGGGTGACTGGAGCTTGAGGTGTGGATATGGAGAGCAGCTGAATATGAGGCTGGAAAGCTGTGTTTCAGTACCAATCTTTTACAATTCAGGTTGAATTTTGAAGTAATTCAATGAAATTCAAAATCACCCTATTAAAATCTTCATTAGGATAACATTAAACATACTGAATATAGTATAAATTATTTTTGAATTAAGTTCTGAAATAATGTCATTTGTTGAAGGATGGAGTAGATAAAAGTAATAAAATATTATCTATAGACTGGTTCTGTAATAATTTAATAACATGAAGACTGTAGTAAATCTAAGATGTCTGTTCCTTTACAAAGTTAAAAAATTCAAGGAAGACTACCCTTTTTAAGAATAATTAGCTTTAAGACAGAGGCATGCAAAATCAATTTTGCCCTGATTTTATTGGAGTTGTCTGTAATTCTCATTACTATATAGTCCACTACAAAAATAGACAAGTTCTATCAGTCAGCAGAGTACTATGGAATAGAAGACCTGCCCAGCCATAAGGAGGGAATGGATGCAAGAAAGGGACACTATAGAAATAAGCACGTGCTCTCGAGTGTTGCCCACAGGTTGAGAACGGAAATGCAGCTCTAAGAACAGTATGAACACAGGAAGAATTTTCTGTTATTAAATTCTAACCATGTTTAGAAAACAGAAGACCATCTTCAGTAGAGATGAAATTATTGAATGTTTTAAAAAGGGGAAGTCCACCCAGAATGTGAGTTCTTTGGAAAGTATGAAACGCCTTGTTCAAAGAGACAAAAGAAAAGAGGAAGCACTTCCTAGTGCTTAATTGAACAAAGATAAATTAGAAGACATAAAGAAAAAAGATGTCCAGCGATAGATTCAGAGAACTAGAAAGTTTACCCTGTTGGCTTTGAGCTCTAAAAAAGAGCTGTACCAGAATCACCTGGGAGTACTGAATAAAAGTTCAGCTCCCTGGATCACTCTCATCAGAACCCAGGAAGCTGTGGTACAAGGTTTTTTTTTTTTTTTTTTTTATAATAAATTTTATTTTTATATTCCCCCATACAATTGCAAACGCCCCATTCTGACCCCAATCCTTCCCCTCCCGCCCCCCACCCCCCAAAAAGTGTCTCTGGTTCATAGTTTTTTGTTGATTTTGATTTTCACTTTCTTATATTCATTTTCCTGGTCCCTTATTTAAGTTTTCTAGATTCCTGCTATGAGTGAGACCATCCGGTATTTTTCTTTTTCTTTTTGGCTTATTTCGCTGAGCATGATCCCTTCCAGCGCCATCCATGTTGCTGCAAATTGCATGTGTTTATCTTTTTTGAATGCTGGGTACAAGGTTTTTCTAACTAAAGTTTGAGAACCAAGCTTGAAATGAAGTGCAAGGTTTTCTGCAGTGTAGTGTACATGTATTGGGAAAGCATTCATGTTTTAGGAAGAGAGCAGAAGATGTGGTTGGTTGGGCAATGGAGAGAATAAAAGAATTGCTAAGCAGAATCTGTTTTTTGAAGTTGAGAAACAGACATTTGTTTGAAGAGGCTCATCTAGCTCCAGTTAAATGTTCTTCAGTGGCTTCTTTTAGAATAAAGTGATTTTACCTAAAAACTCTGTTATTATGTCTCAATTTGTCAGGTCCAGGGAAATTTGCTAGAGCAGATTGCTCAATTGAGGACATGAAGAAAATAAGATTGCTCTTCTAGGCTTGAGAAATACACCTTTCTTGGCAGGCAGAGTAGTAACACTGATAGCTACATAGAATCCTGTGGATTTGTGTATTCAGAATTTTAGTTTCACACATTGATGATGAGCCCTGCCAGTGAGTCAGGCCAGACATCCCTCTGCTTGAAGTGGCTCAATTCCATTCTTACATGCTGCTGCTTTACCTAACAAAACCTGAGAGAGCCATTTCTTGCATGAAAGAAAACAAAAGTTGCCAGACTCTAGGCTAGGCCATTGACTTTCTCTTTTTTCACTTGAGCTCTATCAGCAGCCTTTTAACTGGTCTCCAGGTCACCAGCCTCTTCCTTCCCCAGATCACATTCTACACTACCTGTTACCCTTTTTGGCACAGGCTGATAGCTAAACACGTTATTGAGTACTTACAATTCATTTAGTAAATGCTTTTAGTCTAACTGCTGTGAAGGCTCCCTATCACCACAAGAACAGGTCCAAGTTAGAGATTGTAGTTTTCTTTACATGCTTCATCTCCAACCACTGTGTCCACCATTCTTCATCACTTTATGGGAACACTGTGTCCTTATCCTTGTTTAGTAGATTTTGCGCCCTTGTCTGTGCAAGCGACACCAAAGTGTAGCTTCTGACTTGCTCTTCCTCCCATTGTTTCCCTAAGGAGCTATATTTAAATATCCTCTCTCAGTAGCGTTTTTAAGCCCTAGTCTCTCTTCCAAGTTTAAATTATTTTATCATCTGTACCCCATAGTAATTTTTACACATAACTGCTGGTACTCTATACTTTTGTGTCCTCAAGTGGATTTAAGTTTCTTGAGACCAAATTTTGGGTCATTAAATTTTTAATTCCCCAGTGCCTGACACATACGATGTAGACCATCAATATTAGTTGAGTGCATTTGAACCACAGAGCCTCTTTTTATGTGGTACAAACTGAAAGAAGGGAAGATAGCAGAGTTCTTTGGAGCAGACCATGTGGGCATCTCAACATCATACTATAATAGTAACATGTCTGTATTTGTAATATTCCATTGACTAATCTGAACACATAGACTCATGGAATTTCATTGGGAAGAAGAATCTTAAAAATGGTTCCTTTCATTTGTAGATGAGGAAACCAGTCCTTTACTTGTGGTAGATCTTACAAGTAGCTTTCATCAAGATCCTGGCCAAACAGCCAACAGCCTTTCTGAATTCAGAGTATTAAACTATTTTTGCATTCTAGGCAAGTAAATTCTAGAAGAGAACACAATGTACCATGCATTTGAGTTCAGAGGGGATCCCATTAAGGGATCGTCACCTGAATTTAAGATGGTTTGGGGGAAAGCCAGGGTACATGGATGAGAGTTAATTAGTAAATTCAAGGAGGATTTTAAATTCAAGTGAAGTACTTTCATATTTTTTGCTGAGATGATGTAAGTTATCAGTACCATCAGAGGAACATAGAGTAGATGTTGATGAATTTCTCTTCTCCAGCTTCAGTGAGCCTGTTTTTCTCTTTCATAGGTTCCAGAACCTGCTGTGGTCCAGAAAGACATTTGTGGACAACATGAAAATCTATAACCACAGTTACATCTATATGCCTGCCTTTTCTATGAAGACAGGAACAGAGCCTTCCCTTCGGGTTTATTATACACTGTCAGATGTCGGTGCCAATCAAACAGTGCTCTTTGCCAACCCCAACTTTCTGCGCAGCATTGGCAAGTTCTGGAAAAATAGGGGAATCCATGCTAAGCGCCTGTCCACAGGACTCTTCCTGGTGAGCTCAGCCCTGGGTCTCTGTGAAGACGTGTCCATCTATGGCTTCTGGCCCTTCTCTGTAAATATGCACGAGCAGCCCATCAGCCACCATTACTACGATAATGTCCTTCCTTTCTCTGGCTTCCATGCCATGCCAGAAGAATTTCTCCAACTCTGGTATCTTCATAAAATCGGTGCACTGAGAATGCAGTTAGACCCATGTGAGAACACCTCTCTTCAGCCCACCTTCTAGGGACAATGGAAAAAGAAAGAACTGAGCCAGGGTATTTTTGTTAGGTTTTCTACATAACTCCAAAAGGAAATGGACAAGTTGTTTCATGAATTTGCATGGGCTACTTGAAAAACAAAACAACTAAAACCCGAGGGAATCTCTACTTTTAATATTGACTTGGAGAATAAATGAGAAATGAAACATCCTAGGAAATATTTTACAACACGTTGTGAATTTGCAACTATAATAACATGCTGGTGAAGCATATTTACATGATTCAAGTAGAAATGGGTTTATCACAACCAAGACTGATCTCTTAACTGTTGAAGCTGAGGAACTAATCAAAGGAAACGCCAGGGCAAAAGTGTTATTTATTATCGACACAAACTGGATTACTTAAAAAAACAACAAACCTATCTTATTAAGACTGATATTAGAACCATAAGTTTTTAAAAAATTATTATTTATTTTTCCCCTATTTAGGGGCAGTGAGTGGGTAATGGGGTAGATTTTTAAAAATCCCTTACTGAGTAATAAGGATACAAAACATTGCAGCTGATTATTGTGATTTGTTGAACCAAGTCTTTGTTACCTATAGTTCCCTCCATTTTTTTAAATGTTAAATAAGTACTGCTTCCTCCCCCCGTTGTCAAGTCTACTTAGACAATGTGAAGCATTGTTGAATTTAGACTGTGTTGAATCATAGTCTGGATAACATGAACCACTTTCCCTCCTCCTTAGAATTTAGGGCATACACTCAATTTTAGGTCTATATTATGTAAGCCTGTTTGTATTACTGTTAATACTTTTATGTACAAGAACTACAAATGTGAGTGCATTATTATTTATTTGTAAATTGGCTTGTTTTCATAATTTAATGTTTTCGAGATGAAATGAAGCACAATGAGGTATAGATCAGTCTTTAGATAACAGACTGGAAGGCACATCCCCTGTCTACCATGGCACATTCACTCCAAGAGAAAGCATTTGCATGCTCACATGCAAACACACACGTGCACACAAGCTCATTCCTGCAGTTAGGGAAGCTGAACCCACATTATCTGCTATGGCAAAAATCTGTAAGTAATGTTGGAGAGCTACAAGTGTATTATATACTACACACTGCGCCTTGATAGAAGACAAGACAGCTTAGGCATTACTGCTCACAATGCTCACACCAGCATGAGGTGCAAGCTTTGCCCCCAGTTGCTTACCCAGAATGAGCAGAATTGTTTTCCCCCTTCTAACACCCACCAACATCTCATGAGTGGACTCTGCATGAGCGTGGTCACACCAGGCATGGTTCATACAAGTAAAGGGGTGTGAACTAGTAACAGCTTATAACAGGTATGAGTACTTAGAAAAATTGTTCCATCCGCGTGGACACATTATAAGGAAACTCAATTCCTTACAGTGTTCCCTGTATGGTAAAGGAAGAACCCTTTATTGTCTTTGTGCTTTGGGATGCCTTAGTCTAACAAGCACCCCAGACTCTAGAAATCACTATATTTCTTCTTTAAATGTCACTAAGATTTATGTAAACAGTACCCAAAAGTTCTACCTGATTTTCAATGGTACAAACTCAGCATACCATGTAGATTAAAACAGGTGGCAGTTTTTGGTGGGTTAATTTAAAAGATATCAAGATGACACAGCCCTTGGGAGAAATTATACACTATTAGAATACACAGTTTCTTTTTTTTTTTTTTTTTTTTTTTTTTTTTGTGTGGGACCCTCGTCATGCGGGTGGCCAGGGAACGAACCAGCGCTGCAGAGGCTGCAGGCAGCCTCGCAGCCCAGCACTCAACCGCTACGCCACCAGGGGAGGCTAGGATACACAGTTTCTAAATAGGATTAAATATTGAGGTTACTAGTGACAGTAGCAGCTAGAATATGACTTATGATATAACATTAAATTTTAGAATTTGCGTTTTAATTGTGTGTACAACTGATTTGCTGTCTGGATACTATATGGTGACAAAATTGTAATGAGAATATACATAAGTTAACCATGTTAAATAGTCACTCTGTGCAACCCTGAATATGTTTCCTCTTTTGAGTTCTCTGTATTATTTAATAATTAAAAACAAATACATTTTAACCTATACCTCTAATCAAAATTGTAGAAGGGCTGAGGCAGAACACATACAAATGCTAATGAAATGTGTCTTTCAAATTGTTAAAACTCCATAAAGTTCCACTGAAAATGCTATTGTGAAAATGGTACATTTTGTTAAGATTCCTGGGATAGATTTATAAGTGGATTTGTAGAATGTTTAGTCTATAAATTGGTGGCCTCTAAAAAATAATACAGGAAATGGTCAAAAATGTTTAGGTCAGTATTTCTCAACTGGTATGCTTTCCTTTCCTCATTTGATGATATTTGGCAATTTCTGGAGACAGTCTTGACTGACATTTTGATTTGAAGGCCCTATTGGCTTCTGGTGGATAGAGACCAGAGATCTTGCTAAATACCCTACATGTATAGGGCAGGCCCTATGATAACACAGATTAAACCGATACTGAAATTTTTTAGAATTTAGAATTCACAACATCTCAAATGTTAGTGATGCCCAGGTTAGAAACCCTGGGCTAGACCAAAATGATATTTTGATGGTTCACATTTGTCATCAATTAAGGATATGCATACTTGTCTATGCTATTCACTGTTACCAGAATGTTTTCTTAAAGAAAATTAAAATTTGATGTTTCTTTATAGTGACAGCTCATATCTGTGCCATACATATTTCCTTTCCTTATGATTGGAAGATAGGTGCATCTAAACCCAGGTGCATGTGTGTGTGTAACGTAAAGTTACACATCTCCATCCTTATTGAAATACATGTGTTTCTAAGAGAGGGCCTCCCTAGAGTTAACCTTGATGAGGACTCCCGAATACTCAATAGAGAAGTTGAATGCTAAACTCCAATTATTTTCTTTTCTTTTCTTTAATTATCCTTGTTTTATATTTCAATAATCATGGATTTTGAATGTTTTTATTTTTTATTTTTTTTTCAATATTTTATTTTATTTTTTTACACTTATTCATTTTTTATTGTTTTCTTTTTTTAATAATAAATTTTATTTTTATATTCCCCATACAATTGCAACCCCCTTATTTTGATCCCAATCCCTCCCCTCCCGCCCCCTACCCCCCATAGAGTGTCTCTGGTTCATAGTTTTTGATGATTTTGATTTTCACTTTCTTATAGTTATTCATTTTCCAAAATTCGGGAATTCACAACTAAAGCTCAAAACCTTGCCAAATTTCACCCATTACATTTTAATATTTAAGATTCAGCTCAGAAGATATTAAGGTGATGGTAGACACTTTCAATAAAATACTTAATGACCTTCCGTTCACTTTCCAGAGAGGCCAGCACCCTTTAACATGGGACTTTATTTTTAAATTACTTTTTATTAACAAAAATTAGTTTGCTCCATCCAGCAAGAGAGAGGATTAAGAGAATGAAAATAAGTCTTGGATGAACTTTTAATTTCCTTAGCTCAATCTGAGAATTGCATTGATGCTGAGGATCATGAATAAAGATGACCTTTGTTGAAATTTAATTATTACCTCAGTAAAATTTAGATGGATGGATGATTGAGGCATTCCATAAGAAAGTAAAGTTATTTTTTATGTGGGAGATCTTTATGTGAAAGAGGACATTGTGTGTATTTGATTTATATGGAGTATTTGACCACAAGCTTATACAACATTGTGTTGAAGTGTTCTCTGGATTTTGTTTTTGTATAGTGCATGTGTAACTGTTTTAACAAAGGAAAATAATCCAAAATGATCCACTGACCCAAAATGGCAGATATCCAGACAATATACTGTGTTTGACTTTGTAGTGACTCATACATACCCTTCTCTTGGCTCACACTTTGTGTCAGTTAAATATAATTTGTACCTGAAGCAGTAGACAACTTGGCTTAAAAATCTACATGGACAATTACTGGAGAGATCCTAAGATTCTAAATTTGCCAAAAATATTCTTCACATAGCCAAAAACTTTACAGAAGTGTTATAGACAATTCCAAATAGAAAACATACCAATAACATCTCTTGTCAGAAACTGGGGTAGTTTTATTATAAGCAATCTCCTGCTTTCTCTGTTTGGAAAATCAGCATCTGTGGTTGTAATTTCTGTGTTTACAATGATTGCCTTTGTGAAGTTTTTCATTGACAAATACTTGTGGAAGGGACCTAAGAGAGAAAAAAGACAACAGTTAACTGTTGAGTTGTGTAAAAATGTGTGCACCACAGCAAGGCCATATCTTCTCTGTGTTTGTGGAGTTGCACAGATGAAAAGCTTTATGAATTTGGTGGGAACTTAAGGACAAGCATGTGGAGGGATAAGGATGAAGATCAGATCTATGCTTTTTATTTCTTATCTTCCCAGAGTAGAGGTCGACTCTCAGGTTATGTCTCTTGTGGCCACACTTCATGCACCAGGATAGATATGGGTGAACAACTCTGAGGTATCTGCTGCTGGGGTCAAGCCTCTGACAAGGTCAGCAATGACTGTCACTAATGAGATTAGCAATTAGTCCATGGTGTGCTGGGGAGGGGATGAGGCAAAAATGGAAGGAGAGGACAGCCCAACTCCCATGAGCTCAGCATATAAGGGTGAGATGCATCTCTCTCCTTGACCTTGTCTTTCCAGTCCTGCCTATTTCTGTCCACCACCAGAGAAGCTGCCCTGGCTTTGGGGTTGACCTGGTAGCCATGTAGCTAGAGAACTGGTATGTTAATTTGCTGAGAAGCTAAAATTTTTACACTGACTCAGTTTTTTATACTCTTGTTTTTGGCATAAACTAGTGTGCGCTCTAAATTTAGGTGTCCCGTGGCAGAGTTCTAGTCTCTGACCTAATTATGTCCTGGACAGTGACTATTAAAACTGGAGCTCCTCCCACCCCCACAGATTTCAGCTAGCCTTTCTGAGTTCCTGAGGCTAGGGAGATACCCCATATTCTATACCCTCTTTGAAAGCTCTGGAGATTAACCCAAAGGAGGTCTGAAGGCTAGAGTCTGTAAAGGCCTAAATCTGAGACCACAGTAATTGGTTCTTAAGCACTATAATAAGAATCCTATTTTATACATGGAAGGAGACATCTGTGAATCTACAATTTCTGTAGCCCCTTTTCTTCCTATCTGAAGAAAATGGATACTATTGGCTTTATTCTCAGCCTAGGCTAGCTTCTCTTTTGAATTTTTCATATACATACCAGAGGTGAGACATGGAAACAAGTGCCTGAATGAAAAGCTCTTTCGAACAGCACAATCTCAGCTTGTGCAATAAGGCGAGAAGACGTGCTTCTGTTTCCTGCTGATTTTCTTTCTCGTGCTGGCATTTCTCATTTCTTCTCTCTAACAGATAAGGAGTATATAATTTATTGTAAGTTGACTTATAGTTACCTGTGAGCATTGTGTATAGCAAAGTCCACAACTCTAACTTTCTTAAAGCACAAGGGAGGAATTATTTTTCATTTGTGACAGTTCATTTACCTACCTCCTGTGTGTTCTGTTGCCCTCTCTCCATTGTGCTCAAATTCTTTCTGATTTTGCTCTCTTGTTGAAGCTGTAGGATATAATCAATGATGCAAAGCTGGCTGGAAGTTTTATAAGATAATGTCCAATTATATTCATCAGGCCTCTTTCTGCTGCTAGGTAATTAGATTTTCTCCAAATGTTTGTCATTTTAAAAAGTGTAGCCTTCACATATACTATCAATAAATATATGAGATGTTTTTTATCCAGAACAGAGAAAATCAGGAGTCAGGTGCAATTTTTTTCCAGCAAAGTAAGAAAAATAGAGAATTGTAATTTAAAAAATGGTTTAACCAAAATGAAAAAAATAATCAGGTTTTTAATTGTGAAGGACCATTGAGTGGGATCATAGAAGGTCACTGAACAGAGAGCACTGAGGCTTTTGTCCTTGAGGGTAGTCCCAAGAACAGATCCTTTTCAAAACACTTGAAATAGATTGTCATGCAGTCCTGGCTCATGCAGGAGACCTGCAGGAAGCAGAACTCTGGTTCCTAAGTGGCTCAGAGAAAGTGGGAGTGTGGCACCCTTGCTCTTGGACCCTGTGGTACAGCTGCTTTCCTTTCCTGCCCCTTTCCTCAGTGTCTGAGCTGGATCTGCAGACAGCCCCGTATTTATACTCCTCTCTCCACTTTGACCCGTGCTTCCAAAATAAGATGATTACTTGCTTCTCCTGTCATGATGTGGTAGCAATAGTAGAAAGTGTCACCTTGAACCTGACTCTTTGAAACAGGGTTGCCGTATGATCGGCAGAGTGAGACTTAAAATGCTTTTGTCCTCTGCCCTCATGACTTCAGTAAGAGGCATATTAATTCATTATTACTTAAGCAGATGCATTTCCCTCCTTATAGTCTAGCAAGTGTGTGAATGTGCACACACCACACACACATACACACACACACACACCCTGCATTATTTATGCCCACTGAAAAGAGAAAGATGGCTGACTTGATGGGGAATGGCAGAGGGTGCCTTAACTTATCCCGGCTCGGCTCCCACTTCCTTAGATACGTCCTTCACATGCCTGTCACTTTAGAGGTGTAAACGAGTCTGTTCCAAGTTGTCCTTTATCATCAGCAAGAACTCTCTTATAAATGTTGTGAATGTGACTATTTTATATAAATGCACAATAGTATATAGGCCTTGGAGATGTCTGATAGCAGTTTGTAAATATCCCTTGTTGAAATGGTAGAATCTTCCCCAAAGAACCATGTAAGGATAGTGACTGGAGAATGCCTGGATGAAAAGTATCTTTTTTCTCCAGTGAATTCTAGCATTCGTGGAGGCAAGGAATATGTTTCTGTTGCTCATTCACTCTTAAGCACAAGTCCCTTGGGCTTTCTTGTTGGTATTCACAAGCTGGGGTGGTTGATGGCTGGGGTGTATTAGCATCAAAGGCACTGGAGGGCGGGGGAGATACCAGGGTAGGGTATCTACATGGAAAAGTTTGCCTCATTCTTAAAAAGTCTGGACTATTACTAGAACTCTGGTCACCACCCAGGTTAGTTGGTCTGAAAGCTTTGAAAAAAGTTTCTTTGATCTCTTTGGGGAGCACATTATATATTATCCCACATGTGTGCAGGCTGTTTCTCAAGAGCAAATTTGCAGAGGCTGGAGGTAGGAGGAAATAGAAAAATTCAAATATTCTTTTTCATACAATACAGTCTTGACTACCAAACCATGGGTGCCCTCATTCCGGAAAAGATTTTGGATTAGATATAAAATTAAAATCACCTTTGAAGTGTGCATGGGATGACTTCTCTCTAATAAAGTCAAATTCTGCTGGCAGGAGGTGTGGGCAAAATTTCCTTTTAAAGTTTCAAATCTAATGGAGCAAGTAAGAAAATAACTTTAATTGGTATTTTTGGTTGTGTGACTTGAAAAAACAGTATCTCTCTGTCAGGTCTCCTGAGTTGTTTATTTCCACAGAATCTAAATGCAATGTCATGGAGGTTTTTACTGTAAAAACATGTCTTTTTCTTTGGTGTTTCATTGTAATTATGGCTGGCAGTAAGAAGCTTCATCATTTTTCAATTTCTCTACCTCCCTTAATTGGAGAAAATTTGGAAATGTACCCTGTGAATAAAATGATTTTTTAATAGCTGTGGAGTCTTTATTTCCCAGAACCTGTGGGTAATTCTGTTACCTGTTCTATTCCTCTTGTATTTTGTATCCATATCACTACACTAGTTCTTTTTTTTACCCCTTCCAAATAAAAATTCATGCTGCCTAGTGAGATAATTATTTTAGAAATACAGGCTTGTAAAATATACTAATAGACTATAAGAACGCGACTTGTACCTCTTAGACTGCGAAAGGCACTATCTATTGGCCAAGATAAAATAGGAAGAAAATTGAGCATCTATTTGATATTAAGTACATGAGCCTACTTCTCCCAGCAACAAAAATTTTCCTTTTTGTAATGACTCAATATCAGTATATGTGTCCTAGAGATTAATAAATTCTTAATAAGATTCAAAGCATTGAGATTCCCTGTGTGCGCATATGGGTGACTTTAAAAAGCCAAAGTATGCCTTCTTGTTTGAATTATTTAGATAATTGCTTCAAACTCCCATTTCCCGTGGGCTGTAGTGTTCCACTTCGGCCAGAGTGGGGGACATCAGGAAGAATGACCTTGGTCATCCTTTTTCATACATTTCTTCTCAGAAATTGATCAAGGTGCTTCGTGCAGACCTTTGGGTTCATTCTCTGACTTCGTTCTTACATAACAGCCTTTTGGGCTAAAGCAGTTTTAGGGGCCAGAAAAGGCAGTGCTCTAATATAAAAATGGCTTACCTTAACCTATTCAGACCATTTGAGGAAAACATATTTAACTTATTTTTACCAACTATCATTAAGTCAAAAAGTGAGGGCCTGCAGTTCTTATTTCAATTTAAACATCAAAAAAAGATATTAAGAATCTGAAGGCAATAATTATTCAAGAATTCCTCTTAGACTTTAAAGGAGGATTAATTACAAATCACAAACTATATTTTTTCTTTATAACTTATGTGAGAGGTACATTCTGATTCTTGATGTCAAGAGCTAAAGACAGAGGATGAACTGAACTGACTGTTGCCAAGTTCATTCAGAGTGATCAGGAGACCATGGTTCATGTCAAGGCCATAATATCTAACTGTGCTTAACATTTATAACTCTTAAGACATACTACCTAGCTTTTGGGATTTTGAAAATATGGGAAGATGAGGCTTTGGTTATTTCTTTTGTACAAGACAGAGTAAAAGTTCCTCTTTCTTTCACCTAAGTCATGGTTTCCAGGCATGAATTAAGAAATCACCCTCAATATTTGGAGACTTCATGGTAAACAATGCAGTGGAAGTCAGGTTATGAGTCAGGTTAGTAGGCAATCAGAGTTTATTATTCTCAAGATAGACTTCACTCAAAAGATACCAATATGTGTGTGTGAAAAAAGGGGGGCAATAGGTTGGAGCATGAGTGTTCATTTGCTGGGTCCACTGTGATCAACTTCCCACAAGATGGATCACTGATCTGGGAATATTTATCTACCAACAGTTCAAAACTAGCCTTTGCTGTTATTGGCTGTGAGTGCTTGTGTTTTTTTCAAGTCCATTTTAACAAATACTTTTCAAAACGTAGTGGTTGTTGGTGATGGTTTAGAAGAGAGGTAGATTCCAGCCACTTAAATTATTGTTTACCTGAGGATTTTTCCAGTCTCCTGTGCCAACTATTTGACTTATTATTATTGTTGTAGTATAATTAAGCTACCCACATTTCCAGAAAATACAAGACTACAGAGACTGAAAACAGATCCCTTGTTGTGTGGGGCTATGGCTGAGAGCAGGGGTTGACTATAAATGAGAAATAGAAAAATTGTGTGTATGATAAAATTGGGATCTGGTAATGATTTTCACAACTATAAAATTTACTTAAAATTTTCAAGAGATAGATTGTATGGCACATAAGCATAAACATGAAGTTGTGTAAAATGTCTTAGTGACCCAGTGCTGTTTTAACTGAAATGTGATGTTCAACTCCCATACAGAAGCCCCAGCCATACTATAAACCATAGACACATTACAGGGGGTGAGGGGGAGGGGAGGAGGGATTAGGGTCAAAATAAGGAGGGTGGGAATTGTATGGGGAATATAACCAAGATGAAAATGCATACATTGTGCAAAAATGAAAAATGATGTAAAATATATAAAATAAAATAAAATCAATTAAATAAAAAAAAAGTTTTCAGTGAGCTTTTCCTTCAACTTTAACACAGACATGATATGCACCAAAAAGCAAATTGTTGTGTGGCTTCTGTGAAGCTGTTGGATACCAATTCCAAATAACTTTCCAACAGTCCACCATTAAATCAATCATTATCCATCCAATTATTTTACCATTTATGCACATTGTCATTTTTGGAGGCAATCTTATTCTTAGATGTCATGTTGTGCTTAAAAATGAAATATATGGAGATAATTTTCCATCATCAGTAATCACTATTGTGCTTGTTTTATAGTGACATGCTGATTCTTATCACTCTTCTCAGCATCTTGATCTCTTGAATAGCTTTAGTATTGCCAATGTGATTTCAAGGAATGTTTCTACCTTATATTTTTGCCAGGATTCTTGATTTACCATTTTCAATCTTCCCCCTGATCATTGCAAGCAAACAGCTTCTATTTCAAGTCATGGTGCAGCAGACCTCTCCTGCTGTTCATGGTGCAGCAGACCTCTCCTGCTGTTCCCCTATTTCAAATAATCAGGAAGGTGCTAATATATTAATATCTTATTGATAGACGCACATTGTATGAATGCATCACATCCATCTCTCATTACTTTGAGGT